TATTGTATTTAGATGACATATAAGCAAATATAGGCTGGCATCTAGCTAAAAGAATTTTTATTTTGCTTAAAAATTTGAATCAAAATTAATACATTCACCACTTTGTGATACAGTAGAGCCGAATTTATTCGTAGGCTTTGAACCTTTTAAACGTTTTATAAATTGGTATGTGCTTACAGCACTTACGCAATTATTTGAAGGTCTAGAATCATGCTTAATTATTTTGTCTGCTTTTTTAAAAGTTTTTATATAAACTCTTTCATTTATCCAACTGCTTAAATATTTTTGAAGATCACTTGCTGAAGGGCGTTCAGATGCATTTGCATCCATGCATTGATTCGCTAATTCAATATAAATTGGCGGTATTTCATTTGCAAATGATGGACGGAGACCATCACAGATATCTTTTATAAGGTCATCGTTTTCTTTTTGATCATAGCATAAAGGTTTTCCTGCTGAAATTTCCCACATAATTATACCAAATGAATAAATATCAGATGCCATAGTGTATGGTTCTCCTGCTAAAACTTCCGGAGCTATATATGGCAAAATTCCAAAGACTCCATTAGATTCTGTTGTTAATGACATATCTACTGATTTCAAAAGACCCAGATCTACAATAGATGCGTCTTTCAGGCTGTTTTGTAATATATTACCACTATGTAGATCTTGATGGATAAGATTTTGTAAATGAATTGTCTGAAGGTCAAGTGCAATATTAAGTAATATGGTCAATTTGTCCATCCACTCCATTTGCATTATGGAATGTAAATTACTACGTAAAGAACCTTTTGATGCATACGCTATGACAAGAATATAATCTTTTGAAGCTTCATCTATTGATATACCATAACATTTTAAAAATGTGGAATTTTCACTACGCATATAATACGCCTTCAGCTTCGTTATTTAAAAAAGGAATTTAGATAAATAATAACTATGCATGCTTAATAGAATAATAAAATATATAAAAATTACCTCGTTTATAAGCATTTCAGGATTTTTATTTGATTCATGAATTAATTTAAGTGCAACATTAGTTGTCAAATTATTTTGGTCTTCCCATCTAGTGTAAAATACCGTTGCAAATGCGCCTTGTCCTATTTTTTGAGTATTTTTAAATTCGCAAAAAGGAATATATGACAATT